TTAAAAAATACATTTAATTATTTTTAAATATGTTTTTATTAGTCATTTAATATTAAACAACAATAGTTAGTTATTGTATAACTAAATAGTTATATTTATCGAATTTATTATTTAAGAATCGTTATCCAATTTTTGTTATCTACTAACTGTCACACACTACCCACTATTGTTATTCGTTATTCACTTAAATTTAACTATTATACCAAATAGGCTCTCTATAGGCTCTCCCTTAGGGCCAAAGACTTGCCGTTGACTTGCTTTTTTTTTTTTTGAATTAACTTTTCGATATCTGATAATCATATTGGATCTTAATTAATACGAAATCGAGTCACATTAAATCTTATATAAGAAGAAGTTCTTTAAACATTTATTTTTTCATTCACAAAATTTAAAATCAAAATTTTATTTAAAAATAATCAAATTTTTTTTTATTTGAATAAACAGATATTTAGTTGTTGACTTGCTTTATTTTTTATTTTTTATTTTTTGGTTCCCCATCCGGTATCCGGGGGTTCGCCCCGACTACTCCGGACTCGATCAGCTGTGGCGCACTAGAATGGTGGGTGGGTCTCCCAACGAAGACTGCTGCGTACACAAGATCTCAAACTCGAGACCTTACTTAAGTTAGAACAAACCGCTTACCACTTAATCCAACCCTTCATTGGTTGTTGACTTGCTTTATACTTACATTATTGGTCGTCTTTCTGAGGTGACGGAATATATCTTACTAATTTAAATTGATTGCTTTGTACTAAAAGTCTTCGTCGTCTTTCAGATAAGGCGGAATATATCTTTGGCACATGGCGGTCCTTGGAGATGCCAAATCAGCTCCTGGTTTTCATGACTCATAACCATACTACCATTCATAAATTTATATTTAAAAAATATAAAAATTAACATTTAATGTATTAAGTAATTAATTAAATTTATTTTATAAAATATTAATATTAAAATTAATATTAATTTTTATATTTTTTAAATATATTTATATTAAAAAAAATTTAACATATATCTTAAAAACAAAAGTTAAAAAAAACTCTATCACTAATTAGGCAACTGCCTCATTGCCTCCTATCAGCGTTACCTAATAAGGCCGATACATGCAATTCAGGAAAAAAAAATTCAATAATGAGTGAAACAATCCAACTCTAACATATACAATGTACTTTAAACTTGAGCCAAAATAATGTTTGGACGTCATTTTGGCAACCAAATATGTGATGAGAGCAATTAATTTTAGCACTTTTCTACATAAAA